CTGACTTGTTCATTTTAGCCATTCTGACTGGTGTGAGGTGGTATCTCATTGAGGTTTTGATTTGGATTTCCCTGATGCCAAGCGATGTTGAGCACTTTTTCATGTCTGACCCCCAATTTTTAACACAGCAATAGGAATATAGGTAAAAATAACCTTCAGATATTGATAACATAAAGGGGCCCTGGGCTGATGTGAAGGCTTTACATTGACTAACTCATTTTTAACTTTCACAGCAATCTTTCTATTTCAAAGATGGAGGGAAAAGTACAGAGAAGTTAGGTCACTTCCCTAAGATCACACAGGTTGAGAACTGGAGGTTAAAACCCAGATAGTCAGCTCCAATGTCTCAGTCTTAATCACTATGTCATACTGCTTCTCAGATGAGTAGGAGCTTAGTGAACCATTGTTGTTTGCCCCTTTGAGCAAAGTTTTAGACTCGTAGCTGTATTCTTTTTTATTTGAGCATGAGTAAAATGCTTACAAGTTGTTTATAATAAAGACAGAACAATACTGGAGTGTTTTTGAAGCTCTTCTGGCATTTGGAATGCTTTGCTCCACTTATTGGACTTAATGGGTCAGCTTGGTAGACATGAACATTTTACTTTCAAAAGCCCCTTTTCTCATGTTGAGATCTGGAGCAAAATTTTCCCTTTCCTTTCCTCTCCTTTCCTTTCCCCTATTATAATCAAACTGAGTTGAGAGGAAGGAAAATCCAAAACAAGCTCTCTGGGCATGAGTGTAAAAACAAAATGCAAGATCCAAAATAGAGAATCTTCAAAGGACAAAATTTCAGGCTTTGATTGTGATTTTCCTCCTTTGCCCAGTATGACCTGTGGGTAGGGGAGGGGAGGGGAAGGAAAGGAAAGGAAAAGAAGGGGAAGGGGTAGAGAGAGAGAGAGAAAAAAAAATGCTTTACAGAGCATGCGCGGTGTTCACTCTCCGTTTGTCTCAGCTCTCCATCTTCAGCACCAGAGAAACTGACAGTTCCACATGGAGGCGCGGGACTTGCATTCATTCAATTCCCCAAGTTCACAGGAAGAGAAAGGAAAAATAAAACGTAACATAAGAGGTAAGGGTTGGGGATCGATCCACTCAAACCAAGCACATGCACTTCTGGGAATATCGAACATCCTCCGGCGATGCATGCTGTTTCTTTCGAGCTTTTGCATCAGGTCCAGACAAGGTTTCCGGGGAAAGACCCGGGCTGGCCTGCACAGCGTGGATTGAGCTGCATCTCTGCAGGAGGCGGGAAGGAACCCAAGGAGGCAGCCAGACTGGCTGCTTGGTTAGAGATCCTCTTGCGGCGTCTCTGAGAAATACCTCAGGATTTCTTTCATGGCCTCGCTTCACCTCCTACAGGCACGAAGGAGCAGAGCGAGTCACCGTGCTGAATATAACTGGACAACTGCATCAGTTCTGCATATTATTCTTTATTGCTTCTGAATTTTCTGTTTGAATAAAATCTCTCCTGCCCTCAAAATTATACTTCTGAATTGTATTATGATGTTTCATAGTTGTTAAAAAAAACTTCTCGTCACTTAAAAATATTAAAAGAACACATACAACAAAATGCACTCATCTTAAAATAATGGCTTAATGAATTTTTGCACATGTATATGCCATATGTATAAGAATAGCATGTGTATATCATCCAGATAAAGATTTAGAACATTTTCCAGGTGCTCCCTCCCAATAACTGTGTCATCTTCCCAGTCAATACTGACCCCAGGTAAACACTATTCTGGCTTCTGTCACAGTAGACCGTTTTTGCCTGCTCACATAGAATCATGTAGTATGTTCTATTTAACATGTGATTTCTTTCACCCAATATAGTGTCTGCAAGATGTATTCATTCCTTACGCTTTATTGCTGCACATGGTATTTCATTGTGGTGTTCAATATATCACATATTATTTAGCTGATATGAACATATTGGTACATTTTTTTGTGTGGAAATACGTGCTCATTTCTCTTAGTTTTCTGACTAAAAATGGAATTTTTAGAACACAGGGAAGGTATATGTTTAGTTATAATAAATATTACTTAAGAGATTTTCAAAGTAGTTGTTATCAATTTACCACCCATTAGCTATGAATGAGTTCCATACATAACTTCAGTGAAATGTGACTTTATCATTCTTTTTTAATTATAGCCATTCTGATAGTTTACTCTAATTTTAATTTCACTGAACTCCTTTCAAATTCTTACTAGCCACTGGAGAATCTTTTTGTTTATAGAAACTCATTATGTATTTTTGATATGAGCCCTTTAATGTGTGTGTGATGAATATCTTCTTTCAGTCAATAGTTTGCCTTTACATTCTCTGAATAGTGTTTTATGAACATTATTGCTTTGTGTCCTATGTAATAAATCATTGCATACTCAGCCATGGTAAATACAGTC